ATAGGAGACAAGTTATCCCTCCAATGCTTTAGAGACCTAAACACGACTTTCATTATAATATATGATTTCCTCTTTAGTTTAGTTGAATAATAATAATACGAGAAAAATAAAAATTTTGAATTTTCAACTAAAATATGTTTCATACGAAAAATCTGTTTCGTTTAACTAAATTTTATAGCAAAACACAATTTTTATGGTAAACCTGTTTATCTATTATGTATGGCTAAAAGTATATGAAACTAACTCTTGTTATACATCACAACAAAAATTGTTAATAAAAATGTATACAATTTTTATGTTATATATTAGTATTTTTAAAGCCGCAGAGAAATAAAAAGTATAATATAATCGCTTTTAAAAATATAAATATTAATATAAAAATAAGAAATTTAATTTTCATATTTAATGTTTAGAAATATAAATAGAGATTCTTGTGATACGTTTAGCAGTAGTTTAATAAATATTAATCATTTGTAAAAATATTAAATTTCATTATCTGTTCTCTGTATCTAAAGGCCTAATGATCTCAGTTTTGTCTAAAAATTATTTTTTCTACTCATTTCACTGATTATTAATAAAGTTATTAAAAAATAAAAATTGGTTACAAAGAGTATAGCGTTTTAAAAAAAATAATTTTATAAAAACCAATTTTTGCAAACATTTGAGCGGAAAATATTTTATTTTTAGCCACTGTTTGAAGGATTGTATGGTTTAATACAGAGAACAGGTTATTCAGTGATGGCTTCAAAATATATCATATAAACAAAAAATTGTATTATATTTTTTCAATTAAGTTATAAAACAATTTCTTTTTTATTTCTGATAAGAGATTTCACTTAACGATGATATGGTCTATAAGTTAACCAAACAGTGAATGAGAGAGAAATTTGTTTTTCAAACGTAAAATATTAATTAAAATTAATTATTGAGAAAATCTTATCTCAAATTTGTATTTTTATTGATAAAAAACAATTTACTTCTGTTAAAGAGATAATTAATTTTACAAATATCCTTTCATTAATTACAACATTAGTTACGGAACGCTTGTATATATGGCGAGTGAGATCGCGAAGGGCTGTAATTACTTGGAGTCGATCGGACGGACGCACCGGGACTTAAGCGCCAGGAATATCATATTCGTGGCCAAGAATCTGGTGGTGAAGATCAGCGACGGCGGCGCCTATCGGGACAAATATCGGGCCGACTATTACAACGGAATGCCCATCCGGTGGATGAGTCCGGAGTCCATAATCGACGGCCGATTCAGCGCCAAATCCGATGTCTATAGCTTTAGCACAACGTTTTGGGAGATCTTGACGTACTGTAAATCGCGACCCCATTACCAACTGTCCGACCAGTCGTTGCTCACACTCATCGTCAACACCAGCAATGGTGCCGATGATGTGCCGCCACTGGTGTTGGGCCGACCCCTGCACTGTCCCAAAGAGATCTACGATCTGATGGTCGAGTGCTGGCAGACCAATGAGAACCAGAGGCCGCCCTTTCATGAAATCGGCCTATTTTTGCAACGAAAAAATCTGGGCTATCAAAAGCCCGGACCCGACCACTGATCACCACATTATCACCCATTACCACTACTACAACCATCAACCAATCATGTCTTTGTATAATGTATATAATTTAATATTCAATATAACAATCTATGCGTTAACGCAAGAATATTCTGTGTATATAACTATTGAATGCTAAATAAAATGTCATTTTTTGTTGTGTGCGATATTTATTGTCACACAAATAGCCTATCATTATATTTATGTGGAAATCTATAACTCTCTCAAAAAAACTCTTGTTGTTATTTACAATACATTTTCACATTTAATTTAATAGTAAATCATAAATTTAATATTACTTTTAAAAATATAAATTTTCAATTTTAGATAAATATTTACATTAATTATATATAAAGAAATTTTTCCCATTTTAATACAATCATGATTTTACTTGTAAATTATTGTATAAATGAATTTATTGTAACAAATAATTAATGTCTATTTGCTATTCATTTGATAATATAATTATTTAATTGATAATACGATTAAATTGTTGACGTTTTT